AACCCTACCAGGCATATACCAGGTAAGTATAATGATTTTCTAAACATAGCTTAGATGTGGCACAAAGCTGAAAGTTTGGAGTACCCAGGGCAGATTGAACTCACGTCTCAGAAATAATTAATATTGCAAGACAGTCTTATTAACCATTATATCACATCAAAGTACTCAAATATATATATATATATATATATATATATATATATAATGATCATAATGATACCTATTGATATTTTTTTTTTTTTTAAAAAATTTTCACTCCAAGCAAGGCGGGAAGCCACTAGGACACAATCACAACAGAAAATATAGAGTTTGGATTTCATATAGGAGTTTTATAGAAGAGGGTATGAGGAAAGGGTAGTGGATAGATCAAGGCAATTTTCTTTGTCGATTGACATTACACTTGAATAGCTGGAGATTATAGCTCTCAGGGAAACTGGAATAGGGAAGGGAGTTCCACAGGTGAGAGGTGAGTGGTGCGAGACATGAAGCTGTTAGAGTTAGAAGAGACGGCTACATTTAGGAGTTTCGACAGTGAAGGGGTGAGACCGAGATGCCAGCCTCGTATGGCGCTTTTTCTTACTCATGAAGTCTGGGAAACAGCTAATGCAGCTCCTCATTTGTTAATTACCATGAAAGTATTTGTAGAACAGACAGAGAGAATGACATTTTTTTCTGTGAGAAAGTGACTGTAGACGAGATGCCTTCCAGGGCCAATTATATTGCATATAAAATTATATAATTCAGCATATATCAAAGCAAACAGGATTTTTGCCAATAAAATCTCAATAATTGAATGAGCAATAATAAACTCCATCATTAATTGGAGCAAAAGATGGCTTGTTAATTTTAACGCCTCTAAAACTAAATTTCTCTCCATTAATTATCTGAGAGACTCATCTTTGCCTTCCATCAGCATGGCCGATGCTAAACTCTAGGAAAGTGACTTGTGCCTTCTCAGGCTAACATTTTCAGCTGACATGAATTGGAAAGACTATATTGAATCCATTGCTAAGTCAGCTGCTAAGAAATTTGGTTTACTGTGTTGGCCGAGACAATTTTTCTCTCCAGAATTTATCTTATACATCTAGAAATCTACCATTTGTCCATGCTTAGAATGTTGCTGCCCTATATAGTCCGGTGCCCCTGCTGTTTACCTTGAGTTCCTTGATAAGATTCAAGGAAGAATCTGCAATATTATTGGTCCTGATCTGGCAGCTTGGCATCAGTCACTTTCCCACTGCTGTGCTTTTTCTATAACTATTTTCATGGCAATTGTTCAGATGAACTCTTCACTATGGTACCTAGACTTTTGCAATTTAAGCACAGTACTAGACTGGCATTGAGATCCCATCAACTTACAGTTAAGCTGGCTAAATGTAGCTGTATGTTCTATGCTAATAGTTTCTTTTCTTGCACTTCTCACTTGTGGAGCTCCCTTCTGACTCCATGCTTTCCACCCAATTTTAATCTGCAAAAATTTAAATGCAATGTCAATCGCTATCTACTGTCCTCCTGATTACCTCTTTTCACTTCCTGCTCATTATCAATGTCTCTGTTCCTAATTCTTCCATTCCCAGTAACCCCATGCATGGTGTGATGCCAAATTAAAAAAAAAAAGTTGCTAATTAATGATATTCATAATAATTTTTTAGATATGTATGCTGAAGAAAAAATAAATAAAAAATGAAAGTGTTGTTTTAAAGTCTTATTTACTCAATTTAAATTCAAATTGTTGCATTATACATCCTTTATCATGTATTATGTAAAGAAACATCGAATTCTATTTTATAATCTTACCCAAAATAAATAAAATAACCATTAACAATAATAAATTTATCCTTGGACCTACACTGTTCCCAATTTTCAGCAATAACCTTCTAGTTCTCAATTTGGTATCTGTGCTGATGATACCACTATTTACGTCCATCTTAATAGTAAGGCAGATCAGTCCAATAAGGTCAAATTGGCAGCTGATCTCAAAAATGATATACAATCAGCTGTTAACTTGGGTAAGGAATGGCTTGTTAATTTTAATGCTTCCAAAGCTGAACTGCTCTCTATCAATCATCTGAGGTAATCCTTTCTACCTTCCATCAGAAAGACTGATGCTAACTTCCGGGAAAGTGATTCATTGCACTTTTTTGGGCTGTTTTTTCTACTGACATGAAATTGAAAGATTATATTGAATCAATTGCTCGGTCTTCTGCTAGGAAAGTCAGTTCACTGTGTTGTGCAAGACAGTTTTTCTCTCCAGAATCTATCTTACAAATTTATAAGTCTACCATTCATCCATGCATTAAATATTGCTGACATATCTGATCTGGTGCTCCTGCTATACATTTAGAAATTCTTGATAAAATACAAAGAAGAATCTGCAATGTTATTGGTCCTGACCTGGCATCTTGACACCAGTCACTTTTCTACCGTCATAATGTAGCTTCTCTGCCTTTTCTATAAATAGTTTCATGGTAATTCTTCAGATGAACTCCTTGCTATGATACCTAGATTTTATTAATTTAAGCATAGTGCTAGATTGGTGGCAAGGTCTCATCAAATCCCAGTTGAATTTGCTACATGTAACCATAAGTTCATTATTTACATTATTTGGACTATTGTCCTCATCTTTGTCGCCATATTTATTATTTTCTCTCTTTAATTTTTCTTTTCTTTTTCTCATATTCTCTAACACTCAATAACGCCTTGTGCTGGTTTGAATTCTACTGGGAATTACTGCAAAATACTTCCACCTCCCCAATTTATAGGCAAAACCACACAAATGCATGCTGGGATTTCTTCCTAGCCAATAAGATATGCCACTTCTCAGTCTCACCTGACTCAGTCCCAGCCTGTCTTGTCCTGAAGTCAGAATGCTATGTTCGCTTATCTGAATTCATTCTTGTGTGTCATCAGTAGCTCTTAGTTTGTGAACATTTTGGCTTTTTACTGTTGCTTTGTCTTGCATATATTGTTTACTTATTCAATATTATTTTTTGTCCTGTTCTTTACTTTTCTTTTCTTGTTATTGTTTATTACAAACTTTATCAATTCAAAGATTATTGGGCAGTTCTGCCATTTGCATTTAAACATGGCCACTTTGTTGCAGATGTGTGCTGTGTGTTGGAGAGGAATAGAAAGTTTAAATTATCAGAAGGCTTAAAATTGTGTGTGTTCAATAATCTTCCATCCACAACAATTAATACAAGACATAGAATAATGATTCGTAAACATCTTGTTTCAAAACGTAACAATTGAATTTATTAAGTAGTTGATATACATGCATGAATACTGAGTGAAAAGGTTAGACAGAGTTGTGTCTCTTAGACTAGGTAATATTTGTACCTAAGTTCATAAAGTGAAAGTAATTATTAAACTGTAGTTTAGAAGAATAAAGTTTCTTTAGCATGTTTGGAATTGTGTATTGTACAAGTTGGTAAAAGTTCAGAAGAGATTTCCGAGTTCGTACTTGCATGAATGTTGGTAATGGTCTTTAACGTCTGACCGCAATGGCTAAGACGGGAGTTCTTGAAGATTACATCTTGGTAGCAGAGAGAAATCACTCATGTTTTTGTTTATATGTGATCGTGAATCACGTGACTGGTTCAGATGGAAAACGTGGGAAAACAGATTTGTCGCGTGGAGGCGGTTTGATTGGTCAGAACTAACCAATCAGCGAGCTAGATTGACGGTGATTAACCAATGAATGCTTGTTATATATTTTGTAAGATTGTGATGGTGAAAATTACAACAGGAATAGTGCATTTCCTAGCAAGGGTTAACTGGCTTGTTGTGGAATCTTCCACAACATCTTGTGTCTTAGTGGCTTTTGTAGGGGAATTATAACTCTGAGTAAATAATTATACATGCCCTTACATTCATATATACAAAAATACTTGTAAATATGAGAAACAGCAAAACATGGAAACAACAAAAGTGTTATTTATTATCTGATTGTTATGTGGTGTTGGAGACACGAGAGATAATAATGCTGAGTCAAATGTTAAGTTTGGGGTCAAATGTGGATCAAATATGGATTGGAATCCAACAGAAGTATAAAGTAAAGAATAAGCAAAGAGTATACAGTCTTTCTTGTATGTTTTTTTTTTTTTTTTTAATAGATGTGTGTAATGAGTATCTGCATAATTTAGTTGGAAAAATATAAGAACTGACTGGGGTCTTCTTGCCTCAAATTTTTGTTGAGTGCTAAAAGATAAATGTTACTATTATGGCCTGAAAAAGGAAAATAAGCAGAAATTTTCATTGACACACATGTTGACGACCCATCTGTGTTGGTTGCTTGTCGGATAGTGAGAATGTTACATGTTTATGTGTGTAGAGGAAAAAAATGGGTTGATTCTCATTGGTTTAGAATGACTGAATTAATGACAATTATAATTGTTATAATTACTTTAGACACTATAATTCATTTTTATTTCATTATTTTTTATAGACACGACACAGAGAGAGTACAATTAATCTTTTATTTATGTTATTCTTTATAGACACAACACTTTATTGCTTTGTATGGCGTGAAATGATTAAAAAAAACTGTAGCCTGGACGCAAATTAACTGTTTGTGTCTAGTATATTTCATAAATGTTTTTTAATAGACTTTTACAATAAACTAAATCAACTAATTCTTTAAAATTTAAACACATATACAAGCGCGCACACACACCTATATATATCTATTATTAGTATCAATTTTAGTTTTGTTTGAGCACTGTTTTATTACCACCAACACTTACTGTCTGATACTTATGTGTGTGTATTTTGCAGCAGCTGTATAAAGTGTGTGTAACATGATATAGGAAATATATTTCAATAATTCTACTTTAAAACAGGTGATGTCTGCTGCGTGAGTAAAATAGGATTTTTTTTTTTAATCTAAAATTAGAATAAAAAAAAAGTAAAAAATAAGGGAGAGGAGTTACGGGAGGTTAGTTTTCTCACCTGTCGCCAGGTGGCGGCCCCATTAACAATCAACCTGGTGGCACGGTAACATGGCTGACGTTTGGGACGGGGCGATGGTGACGACGAAGAAAAAGAAGAAGAAGCAGCCTTGTTTTTATTTACTACCCACATCAGCAGTGTCACCCGTTTCTCAACTTTCACTCTTTCGTACGTCTTGTTTGAGTGCTGCTTGCGACTGTTGTCATTTTGGCTCTTCTGCTGTTACGTCTTCGTCTTCCTTCTTACTAGCTCTTCAATCCTGGAAGGAAGACAGTGCACCGCCTTCTTCCAATTATTACGATTACCGCAGTGCACCCGTATAAAAAAAAGGGGTAACGTTATCTTTTTTTTTTTTTTTAAGTGGTTTATTTTATTTATATTTACTTTTAATTATTTATTTATTACGAATTAAGAAATGTTTATCATAAATCGGAGCTCTTTTGTCTTTCGTTAAGTTTTTCTTTTCGAATGATGATCGATTGTATTTTTAGTTAAAAAAAAAAAAATGACGCATCGCTTCTTTTATCCTTAAAAAAAAGTGTTATTATTCATTTTTTTAATTATACATTTTGGTTTCCTTTTAATCTTTTAAAAACACTTAGAATATCTGTAAATGATGTACATTCCCAGTACATAGAATTATTATTTTCACGTCTCACCATAGAAACCCATTTTACCCCACTTTTATTTTTTCACGAATGTTCCGCTAATGTCTTTTCTTTCGCCCGTTTCTGTCTGATTAATTCTTCCTTGATGAGTTGATATATTTTTCTGTTGTTTCAAGTGTAAAAATCCGAAAGAAAAAACAAAACAATTTTATTTAATAATCTAAATACGGAGCCTGAATTTACTTACACACCTGTGTATGTGTTTTGTTTATTATTGTTGATTCTGTTTTACTTTGCTTTTGAAAACATCTTAATCCCAGAATTACTTACCTTTTTATCTTTCTTATGTAAGAAACAATTTTTATTTTAAATACTAGAAGCATTATTTGTCGAATTATCACAAATATATTTTTCTCTCATTTTTAAACTACTTTTTGGTTCTTCTTTCTTTATTTTAATATAAAAAAAAGAAAAGCTTTTTTAAAAAAACTATTTGTTTATATCGTAAATAAGAAATAAATACACTCTTGTTTTTACATGGTGTCCTTTTCTTAAATGACTTCTTAATTGCTAAACATTTTTAAAAAGTGTTGTTTACATATCTACCTTATTTTTAAAATAATTTTTATGTTACTCAAATAAAAATTTCCTTTATTATTATTTTATTTTTGCAACATCATGTCTTTTTTTTTTTTTTTTTTTTTTTTATTTTTGATTCATTCTTCCAAAATTCTGAGACAAATCTTCCTGTTGTCTCGGGGGAAAAATTAGCGAGAAAAAATATTTTAATTAATATTCCATAATTCTGAAATTTAATTTAATTCTTGCACCTTTTTAGTGTTTGTTTTGCAGTTTGCTTGTAAATAAAATCCATTTTATTTTTACCATTTTAAAATAGATTATTATTAGTAAGACAAATAAAATAACTAAGGTTTTTTTTTGTCACAATGCGAGTTACATTTTTTTAATTTGAAAAACGTTTTTTTTAAATAATAAAATAATTTAGATTAAAAAATCCTTTAATTTTTAGACTTAATTTCTCGAGTTTGTTTTTTATGTTTCAATAATAATCTTGTACGCATAAAAAATATTGCCATTAATTTGTTTTTTATTTTAATTATCGTATTTTAAAAATTATTGCAAACAAATAATGTAAAATTAAATCTTTTGCTTTAAATAAAAAATGCAGGCTAGGTGTGATCATTTAAATAATCATATGGAACAGCAATTCTTACCAGCAAATAGGGAAAAAAATAAGGCATTGAAAAAAAAAATCAACACTATTACTTTCCATAAAAAATAAAACGTTAATTTAATTCTTAAACAATCTGTTTAAAAATAAATGAACCTTATTATTAAGATATCGAGACAATTTCATATATTAGCTACGTAATTCCTTAAGAAATAATTTTACCATTATTAATCAAAAATGAAAACTAAAAGAATAGGAGCGATAGAAAACATGAAAAAGTCTAGTAAATAAAAAAAAAAAAAAATCCAGCAATACCAAAAATAAGAATGCTTCTTTCTTTTATGAAAAGATTTTAAAATTCTTTTTCTTTTCCTTTTTTTTTATTTTTCATTTTTAAATCAACCAATGAAAGATTGTCTTTTACTTTCATCACTGCAATAAGCACTTCTTGTGAATTTCATACGGTTCTAGGTGTGAAGTCCTAGTTTACTCACGCGGTAAATATTTTAAATTTTAAAATATCAAATTTCCACAGCGTTAGCTCTTGTTAGGTTCTTTCTTTTATAAACAATTTTTGCAACTGAAACCGTTCTTTTATTAAAAAGAAAAAATTACACACACACACAGAGAAAGTCTGAAAATTTTAAATTAATTTAACTTTGTTATCGGTTACATTTGCCATTTCAGTAAATTAAACAATGCTATTTTACCCATATATATTTTTAGCTTCGCACCTATCTCACGAAATTAGTAACCAATATGTAAAAACAGTTTTTATTTAGTATTTCCGTTAAAGACTTTAGCATGCTGTAGGTTACTATTTTCACCAAGCAAAATGTTAGTCCTGTCAATGTTAAATTTGAATTTCTTGTTTGTGTAGTCAGATCCTTCTATGACAACACCAAAAACAATCTTGACTGAAATTGAGAGCCAGGCTACTGCAATTTCAAATATATAGAACTAATATATAAAACACTATGTTTTGATGGGATTTCATATACAGTAAAAGGGGAAGTAATATTTATAAATGATGCAGAGTGCTAAATGTTTAAAGTCTACATTAGTGTTTGTTGACATTTGAAGTCTACATTAGTGTTTGTTGACATTTGAAAGTCTACATTAGTGTTTGTTGACATTTTAAAGTCTACATTAGTGTTTGTTGACATTTTAAAGTCTACATTAGTGTTTGTTGACATTTAAAGTCTACATTAGTGTTTGTTGACATTTTAAAATTAGTTGTTGACATTTTAAAGTCTACAAAAGGTTTTGTTGACATTTAAAGTCACATTAGTGTTTAAATTCATTAAAGCTTTATTAGTGTTTGTTGACATTTTGAGGATTAACTAACCTTAAATATATTGTACTAAGCAACTGTTTAAACAAAAAAGGATAATTATATCTAATAGAATTAGAACCAATTTAAGAAAAAATAAGGTCATAAATTTTGATTGATTTGTTTTTTATTTATTATTATTATCATCTTTTTGTTACACCAAATCCTTCGGCAGATTATATCATAACTCTCTACACATATTCTTCTTTATTATCTGTGAATTTCTATGCATTATTGGGAAAGATAGTGGAGAATGTTCCTGCTACTTTCTCAGTTTCTTTTTTTTTTAAGTAAAAATTTTACTGACTCTTGCTGCCATTTGGAATCAAATTTATCCAGAAAAATAAATAATATATAAATTATATATATATATATATATAACTATAAACCTAGAGAGCCAGACAATCCTAAGACAAGGTCTCACCTAAAAAAATTTTTTCATCAGGAAGGCTGGCTAAAAAGGAAAAAGAATCGGAATACTTATAGTCAATAAACAAAAACATCAAACCACGTGACCAAATAAAAAAACAAACAATGGGGTAGAGTAGGGAGAAACCATTTATTCAAATAGAATAAAAAAAAATTTAAAGGGGTGAAGGTTTGAGAAACTCTGACAACAGGGGTAATAAACCATTGAATAAATGGTTTATTACCCCCTGTTTTCAGGTTTCTCTCTACCCATCCCCCCCTTTCTTCTGTACTTACTGTATTGAGCACTTTATTTAGTTATTTTGTCTACTCATGTCATCAGGTTTTTTTTTTTAAATTGGACTTGCATGCTAGACGATTTTTTTCGATGACGTACATGTTCTTGGTTCTTTTTTTTTTGATACCTTTTTTTTTCCATTTGGTATTGGTTTCATTATTTGCAAATCAAAACACTGAAGATTTTATAAACGAGTATAATTTCTTATACTTATAAGATTACTACTATATATATATATATATATATATATATATATACTAGTTTAAAAGCTGCCTTATCAGGTGGCATTTAAGCTCATACCTTTGAAAGACTCTTTATTGGGCCTTCATCACAATAGCTAGGGAAGAGTAGATGCGATAGGCAACAATAAACTACAGAAGAACAGAAGAAAATTGATTGCTGCATTTAAGTATTGCATTAATATTTAAGCTCACCTTTTCAAAGCTCAATGATAATTCTTCTGCTGTCAATTAAGGACAATTTCATGTATATAGGTCCTTACTTTCTGTACAAGCAATTATTTCATGGGTGACTTTTGCTGGATTTTGCAATTAATTTTGATTATTCTCAAATTTATTTCCGAGTTATAAAAATTATCGTACAAAAAAATTTGTCACAAAAAAATCATCAAACACAATTATTGTAATGAAAACTCGAGGATCCAAAATTTCAGGATTTCATGTCCAGATCCAGTCTGGGATGTTTTTAATGTGCTCACAGTATCAGCCTGATTCCAAAATAGTATGATATGATATGCTAGGATAGAGCCTCTAGGAGTAAAGTTGAAAAAATGTGACACAGTGATACACTGACATTCACACACACACACACACACACACACACATATATATTATATATAAGGTTATGATGGGGGTATCAAGTCTTGAATGAAAACCATCCTAGAGATGATATCTTGATAAAAACACTTGATGTACTTGGCACTGCTGTGAGTGTTTGAATTGGGCATTGGGAAGAGTACCTGGTTTTGTCAAACTTTGCCTCAAATCATGACAAATCCTCTGTCATGTAGGACCTACCATGCTTTGTGTTCATTAATCCTTGTCCTACTTCAAGAAAAGAAAAAAAACACTCAATATCTTTAAAAGAAAAATTCAAAAACATATCCTTTCCTTTTCTTCCTCTTTTCTTTCTTACCTTTTCCATTTTCTTTCTCTCTCTTTAGATTTCTTTCTCTTTCTTCTCTTTTTTCTTTTTCTCTTCTTTTTTTCTTTCTTTTCCTTTCTTTCTTTTTCTTTTTTCTCTCTTTTCTTTCTTTCCTTTCTTTCTTCTTTTTCTTTTTTAATTTTTCTTTTTTTTCTTTCTTTCTTTTTTTTCTTTTCTTTCTTTTTCTTTTTCTTTCTTTTTCTCTCTTTCTTTCTTTTTCTTTCTCTCTTTCTTTTCTTTTCTTTCTTCTCTTTTTCTTTCTTTCTCTTTTTTTTCTGAATTTTCTTTTCAACCCAAAAAAATTTGTTTATCATGAAACTTATTCACTATTTTATTTTTGTTTTATTTTTTATTTTTTCAGAAAAATAGATTTCTCAAGTCCACTCATATTTCTAACCTTTTACTCCAGGTAGTGTGAAAAGTCAATATTTTGAATATATCATCATTTTCCCTTTTAGTTATATATATATATTATCCATTTTAGTTGTTGCTACTGCTGTAAGTCCCCAAGTAGTGATGTGTTTCTTGTTATTTGGTAAAGTTCTTTCTTTGTGAATCAATGGTTGTATATTGCTGACAATTTATATATTTCTGAATGAGTTGGATATGATACATGACATCCATCTGAGTATCTAGATCTGAGGAGGCTATTTTAATAAAATATTTGTAAAAATTATTTTTGTTCATTTGTAGCAGAATTCTATTACTTCAGGGTAGAAAGAGTTTATGGCTTTTTACAAAAATCTGTAGATCTATCACCCATTTCGTAATCAATCAGTTTTGGCAATTTTTAACCTTTACGTACACAAAAAAACTGGTTTGTCAAAAGAATGGTTTTTCCCTTGCTACTGATATTTATTTTTGACTACTTTCTCTCCTCGGCAATGATTATTGTTTTAAAAAGTGAATTTATACATTTTCATTATTCTTGAGAACTGACAACTCTTTTTTAATAAACACTATTCAAACTGTTATATTGGCTATTGGGAATAACTGACAAAACACTGGCTAATTGCCAATCAATTCAGACTTTATAAAATGGTACATAATAAGGATTTCCTTAGAGTTGGTTCACATATTTTAATAATTTAGTAAATGTTTATAAATTTATGAATAAAAAATTGTTTTCATATTTATTTCATTATAAATTGGTAAATAATAAATATTGCATTAGTTTTACAGTCGTGTTAGTTTTTAGAATGTTGTAAATATAAAATTATACTTGTAAATAAACAATATTATAAATAGTGTTAATATTTTTGTTGTAAATTCTCAAGGACAAAAAAAAAATGTATAAATTGACTTTCTTCATATTTAGGTTTTATTACAATTTTAATCATTGCTTTTTAAAACATACATTGCTGAGGAGTAAAGGTAATTAAAATAATAGTCTTGTCAAGGGAAAATTTTTTTTTTTTTTTTTTTTTTACACAAAAATTAAAGATTGTCCATTTTTCACTGTGTTGTGTTTGTCCTGAAATCCCATCTTCTGGTATAAAGTAAAAAAAAAAATGAAATGCTGATTCAGCCATTATCTCTGCCAGTATGTTAATTTTAGGTCTTTATTTTGACTGAAGTATTTTAACATTTTTTCCTATCGTCTCTAGTATCAAGCTTACAGCCATACCATTTTGATCACCGGAGTTAAGCAATGTCGAGCCTAGTTAGTACTTAAACAGGTGACCGCTCGAGACTACCAGATACTGTAAGCTTAGATGTGCAGGTGGTGTGATGGATAATTGGAAATTGGAAAGCTGAGTTCCAATTCCAGTTGGGTTCATCATATTCACTTACATGCAAATACCCTTGTGGAAAAATATGAATTCACCTCTTCTCTTCCCCTAGTTATGGGTTAATTATTACAACTTGTATCAGTAAATCATTATCTCCAAAATATTTTTATAATGAAAAAATATTTTCTGTCATTAAATAACCTGTGAAGGTTGATAAGCCATAAAAATCTAATCAACCAATCTCAGTAGTATCATTAACACTTCCGCTGCTAACTATGGAGATCTTTGTTTTTCTTATCTTGCTCCAGCTGGCTAAAAATGAAACCTATGTTTTTTGCATACCACTGGTATGAGTGTCCTGTTAATGAACCATCTATCGTAAAATCACAAAGGACAATGCTTCAAAAGATATCATGTCTATACCCATTACTAATCTGGTAAGTCATTCCCAGGTATATCCATGAAAATGGAATGCTGTAAAACACACTGGTGCCAGTTTTCTGTGTAATAAAATATGTAGGTTGAAATTTTGCATTTTCTTTAAAAATGGCTGGCCAGATGGGGGCAACACTGGGCAAATGAGTAGCAGTTAAAGTGTTAATAGATCTGTCTGTTGAAATAATGCAACTGATATATAATGAATAAAAATGTCAAACACTAAAATATCCTGAGACAAAGTATTTTAAGTAGCTTGGGGTGGATAAGATTTTGGTCCTTAGCTGTAGTTTTGAGACTGATGGCATAGAAGATAAGATTTACTGAATATTTGATTGAAGTGTGTTAATATAGAATTTTTTTTTTTTTTTTTGACTGAAATTTTGTGCTCATTTGTAGAAGACATCTATAAAGAGTTCTATGGCTATTTACAACATCTGTCATTCAGTTGTGTTGTGTTTGCTCTGGGATACTATCAACTAATATAAAGGAAAAAAAAAACCTGAGATGCAGATTCAGCAACTATCTCTGTCAGCATTCTCTAACCCTTGATTCAGTAAATGTGTTGGTGGCGTAATGGGTGTGACTTGGAATAAGAAATCCAAGTTTGAATTCATTAGCTTCACTTGTGTGCAAATACCTTTGGGGAAAAATACAAATCCATCTCTTCTCTACCCAGCTATGGGTTAAATATCAATTCTTATATCTGGAAAAAATCATTATCTTCAAAAAATTGTTAATGCAATATTCACTCACCATCTCCCACCATGAAATTATTCTTACAATTTAACATGTGTTTTGGTTTTAAATAATCTAAAAGGGTTGATAAGCCCTAAAAAATTAAAAAAAAAAACCTTGATTCACTTTTACAAGCAGCTTACTTAAATCAAAAAGACAGATTGCCCTTTCAACCTCAAAGTGACCACATTTGGGTTTGTCAATTTATAACTCTTAAAGTTTTGTCTTTACCTATGTTCCAAATCTCTCACCTGTTGACACCTGTTGAGTTGTTGCCATGACAACACAGTCAAGAAAGACTGCTGATAATATTTTTAATACATTTATAAATAGTAATAGTAAATCTACTTGATCTTGGAATATTAATTCCTCCTTCCTAAGTGTGACTATGAAAGAGTGGGGGTGACTGTAGTGTGGAAGTGGGGACACAAAAATCCTCCATGCATTTAAGCCTCTTAAAAAGACATCTGAAGTCTTCTTTCTCTAATTAAATTTTTTTTTTTTAATCATTTAATGCATTAATTATTATAATTCTAATGTTCTTTGCTGACATTAAATGAAGAGACGATATTGAATCCATTACTAGGTGAGCTGCTAAGAAAATTAGTTCACTATTTCTTTCCACAGTTTATCATACATGTCTATAAATCTACCATTTGTCCACACTTAGATATATTTTAGATATGTTGCTGCCACATATGGTCCACTGCCCCTGCTATTTACCTTGAGCTCTTTGGTAAGATCCAAAGAAGAATCATCAATATTATTGGTCCTGATCTGGTGGCTCGGCTTCAGTCACTTTCCCTACTGACGTAAGGTTGCCTTTTTTATAAATACTTTCATGGTAATTGTTTGGATGTGCTCTTTGCTATGGTACATAGACTTTTTGAATTTAAGCGCAGTACTAGACTGACGTCAAGTTCACATCAATTTACACTTGAGCTGGTTAGATGTAGCTGTAAATTCTATGCTAACAGTTTTTTCTCGCACTTCTTGCTTGTGGAACTCCCTTCCAGCTCCATGCTTTCCAGCCAACTTTAATCTGCAAAAATTTGAATCTGATGTCAATCACTATCCACTGTCCTTATGATTACTCCTTTTGTTCCCACTCATTATTAATGTTTCAGTTTCTAATTTATCCACACCCAGTAACTCCTTGTGTCTTAGTGACTTTACTGTCTTGTATAGGATGAAATTGATTTAAAAAAAATCTTTTATTCATAGTAACATATCAATATTCTTATTATTCAGATTTGGGCCTGAATTAAATCCTCCGGACTTATTTCACTGAGTTACTCTGAGTAGTTCTGAAGCAGTTCTACTATAGGTAGAATATCTGAGTAAATGCTGGACAATTTCCTCATAGATGAAGAGGAGACATAAGACAATAGAAATATTCTATAGGAAGATTCTAAGAATACCATGGATGGAACATTTGGACAATGAGGAAGTTTTAAGGAAAGCAAGAACGACAAGAACAATTGTACTTAGAATCTGAAAGAAGAAGGCTTTGAGAATCTAATTCTCACAAGACATACTGAAAAAAATTTGAACATGGGGAAGCAATGAGTTGATAAACAAAAAATATTCTTCTGTTTTATGCCTCTTGCTGACATTAATCATGACTTCCATAAATTCCTATCCCTTTTTCCCTTAGCAGTGTTGTACCATTTTTCCATTTTTCACTGCAATTCCTCAATCTCCTGTCTTTGATATTGCCCTAGAAATTTAAACATTTTGAACAGATGTTTATAGAAAAGAACAAATTGGATGGTAAAAGGTCAAAATTTGCTATACAATGTAAAAAATAGGAATTTATGGAGTTTCTTTTGGACATATCCTGAAATGCTGGCATACCACATAAAATTAGTAGTTTAATTACTGTTTCATTTATTTATTTATTTTTTTGTAATTCATTGGCTGCTGAAATTAATTCAATTAAGAAGTGATCTTTCTTAATAACTAAAATTTAAATTTTACAAGTATACTGGATTTTATGTACTTTTACGTACTATACAAGTTTAGATTTTAAATCTATATTTGTAAAATCCAGTTAATTTTTAGTCTCTGTATCATGACTAGTCAGTGTATGTATGTGTTATTGTTCCACTGCTTACTAGTTTAATTTAAAATTCAATTAAACAATTTTCAGGAGTCTCTTAGGCTCTGATTTTGGATTCAGTTTACCTTCTCTTAGACTTGTTACTACCCTAAGTTAAGGGAGTCCAGTTTGCTCTATTATTTAATCCATAGCGTTAAGAAAATATTCATTTAAATTTCCTAAAGTATCATCAAAAAGTGAATGTAATAACTAGACAAACATTTGAACTCAGGTTCTTTGATTTAAATTTCAAGTAAAAAGTCACTTCTTTA